CCCCCCCCCCCCCCCCCCACCAACACACACACACATCCCGAAAAAACAACATATACTATTATGCAATTAGGCCCCCTTTAGTTCTATTGTTGCAGATAGACCCCCTTAAGGAGATTTATGTGTCAGAGAGATTCTCTTTCTCTGAAGACTGTGGGTAAAAGAGTCACAAAAAAATTCATCTAGGGGGGCTCTCAGCAATTATGGTGGCTAAAACCCCCGTGCTTCATTACTATAAGAATTTCACAAAACAACCCAAAAAGTTACAATAAACACCACATATATTTTTAATATTGATTTCCCATATTAACCTTTCTGGCACACTTAACGTAAGACTTGTTTCTTGCAGGGTTACTTGGATCCTGAATACTACATGACTCAACAATTAACCGAGAAGAGCGATGTGTATGGTTTCGGCGTCTTATTACTCGAGCTCATAACCGCAAAAAAGCCTATAGAGCGAGGGCGATATGTTGTAAGAGAGGTCAGGATCAAAATGGACAAAACAATGGATTTATATGGTCTCCAAGAGCTCATTGATCCAATGATTGGACTAGGGACTACCCTTGGCGGGTTTGAGAAATTTGTTGATCTGACTGTAAAATGTGTGGCAGAAATGGGAGTTGATCGGCCTACGATGAGCGAAGTAGTGAAGGAGCTCGAGATAATAATGCATATAGCTGGTATGAACCCGGGTACTGAATCTGCATCTTCTTCATCGGTGAGCTACGAAGCGACGAGCAGGGGAACAACAGGCCATCCTTATGGAAGTGAATCTGCCTTTGATTATAGTGTTGGGGTGCCTCCATCCAAAGTTGAACCCAAGTGCGTGCTAGTAATTTGACATATACGCGTTATGGTTTTAGCCACATTTGATAAGCGAGGTGCATTTGGATCTTGTTAGTTTCTATCCCCCGCCCCCTCCCCCCAACACCACACACACACACGCAATTTTAGAAAACTCAACTTAACTCCCCACGAGTTTTGACAGATAACCCTGTAACTAATACCGTTAGATCTAACTGTGCATGTGAAAATCAAGTGCATCAAATGACCAAAATGCCTTGAATGGGAAAACGCCTTTCATGTCCTTATTTATAATTTAAAGGTAATTTTCATGAAACACCCATAAGTTTGATACAATTTTGACCAAAATGTCCATGATCAATTAATTTAATAATAAGAGAGTTAATTTGAAAAGGGATTTTTGTTCTCACCAGTCCAGGTAACACTTTTAGGAAGGTTAGTTCATACAACTGATAATGTTTGATGTTTGGGGTTTTTCGTAAACTTTTTTTTTTGGGTTATTTTTTTTTTGGGTGTTAGGGCCTCTGTGTGTGTGGGGGGGGGGGGGGGGTAAGGTTTAAGTGACAATTTTTAATGTTTAAGGGGGTTATCTCAAATCGGCTAAACTTAAAGGGGGGGTTTGTGAAATTTGCCCTTTGTTGGAGTAACAATCTAGTTACTTTTTTGCAGACTGTAATGCTCATTGAACTAATCTCTTGTACAATAACAAGTTACTGAAATATTCTGTCACTATGTTATAGATTCAGTTTATCAAATTAATATTTGATATTTGCATGATCTCCCATTTTCTCTCTTTTTGCAGGTGACAAAGTTTTTCAAAATTCACTGCATGCTTCTCCCACCAAATAATACGAGGGGGAACTTCTGTGTGCTTCGACTGTTGAGCCAGTGAATTGAAATTGTAAGAACGCAAAATTGTATGTACTAAATTTTTTTGTGCAAGGATTTCCTATGTGTTTTTTTGGTTTAAAATTAAGTTGGTTAAATTCTCAGCATCTTGTGCAGTAATGTACAGTTCCTTTTTCTGTTTTCTATCTTGAACTTTATTTTTCTGGTCTAGAATTTACTCTGTTACATAACTGAGAGCATGTTTGACAAGTTTGGATTATAATCCACAGAGGGATTATAATTCGTGTGGATTGTAGCCATAATGTTTGATAAATTTAGTAGATTATAATTCATTTGCAATAGTAGAGTGTTTGATAAATGGGTGAATTATAATCCGTGATTGTTATCAAAATGACCAAAAAAAACATGACTTATAATCCACCAAAAAGTACAGATTGGAATTTTGTGAAATGATGAGGGACAGATATGTATTTTACTTGGTCAAAATCTGTGTGGCTTATAACCTGCCAAAAATAAGCTAGGGTACCTAGCTTAACTTTTGGTGAATTACAAGCCAAGAATAAAGCCGTTCGTTAAACATGTCAAAAAAGGCTATAACTTACAAGCCATAATGCTGACCATTTGCCAAGCGTGCTGTGAGAAACCTTGGAATATTTTCTTGTATACACCTTCATCATGTAACCATTTCTTTCTTCATGTACTAGACATTGGTGGTTTCGAAGTGCTACCATCACAAATTACCAGGTTTTCGTCTATTTACCTAATTTTCTTTTCCTTTTTGAGAAAATAAGAGGCTTATTTCTGTCTTATTAAAGGAGAGAGATAGAAAGACACGCACGCACGCACGAAAAAAAAAAGGAACAAAAAGAAAAAACCTAAGAAGAATGCAATAATATGGGAGGGAGTATATTATATATTTGGAGGAATCACATAAGTTCTATTCATCACATTTTTGCTCAGTTATTATGTATATTGATACCTTGTTATGAAACCGTCAAAAATATGTCAATATTGTTGACCTATGCATGATTTTTGGCAACCTGGTGCATGAAGCTCCCGTTATGTGTGAGCGAGTCCAAGAAGGGGTCAGAGTCGTCAGACCATTTTAGATCTACTGTACGCAATCTTTACCTGCCATTTCAAACCCCCCCCCCCCCCCTCCCCCCCCCCGGTGGGCTGTTGCCTCTAGTGCATTGGTTTCTGTCCATATTCAACATAATTACCAACCTCCACCAAGGGTAAACAAAAAGAACACGAAAACTGATCAAAACAAGGAACAAGTCACTCCCCCAACCTCAACGCTTTATTCTCCCCACAAAAAACACTCTCACAGTATCAAAACCCCTCATGTCAACGGCTTCTCCAAGAGCGCAGAAATATACCACTCATTCTTCTCCTCCCCTCTATCCACCTTCCTCCCTAAATTCCACCTCACTTTCCTGAACCCAATCCTCTCAAACATGGGCACGTAAGTCTCGTTAACTTGAGCCCCGACACAAAAGAAGTGATCGAGCCAAAACAGACCTCCCTGGCCTCCAAAACCTGTAAACGTCATAAAGACGCGAACTCAAGCATCACGTCCGGCACCCAGTTGTCAGACACGTGCATGGAATGCACGACGTCGAGCGCTGTTTTCGTAAGAACGGTAGCCTCGTGCGCGACACTCGCGCTGGCAGCGATATAAGCCCCCTCGACGCGCATGAAACTGTTAAAAGGCCGTCGAAGTTCATGGAGGTCGTGACGACCGTCACGTTCCGCTCCCTCATTTCGCGCCGCGAAGGTCCCGGACCCGCCGCCTATTGTCCAGACCGATGCGGATCGTCCCTGGCGGCCTCCAGCCGCCAGAACGGCCGTCTATGCCGTAGGAAACGCTGTTACGTCGACACCACCCAACGGGTTTTTCCGCCGCGCCGAGGTCGAAACAGTCTTTACAGTCATAAGCTACCCTTCGTGTCACCGCGGCCTTACCAAGCACGTGTAGTTTTACACGTGTACGGTCCCAGCTGATGCTAGTATCGGGTGGGACCCTCCAGAAGCTCTCGGGAACGGAACGGGGCCCGCCGTAGTTCTTCGGGGACTTCGGGTTGCAGCGCGGCGGGGGGAGAGGTTCACAACCCTTGAGCATTAGCCGTTGGGCGAAAACATCGTCCGAGGGGCACTGGGCCCCCGCTTTGTAGTTCATGTATTGGGCCAATTCATCCTGATATTTTAAGCAGCCCGAGCCCAGCGGTGCGTATATCTTGTTGGACCCAATGTTGGATGTAAAGCCCAACGGAAGTTTATGAGGCCCTATAGCTAGTTTTAGCTCGCCATCGATCTCGCCGAGCCAACGGTCTAGATCCCCGGGCTCGGATTTTTCGCCGTGAGCCCGACCGAGCTCCGTCAGGAGCGTCTCGAGGAGGGAGTTGGAGGTGAGGAGGCGGCGGTGGAGGTCGGAGGCCTGGGCTTGGGCCGCTGTTAACTGGGCCTCGGTTGAATTGAGTTTTTGGAGGAGGGCATTGGAGGCCCATAAGTTAGTTTTGGGAGTGGAGGGGAACCATTTGAGGTCTATCGAGCGGTCCGAAAACAGGAGGAGAGTGAGAATGTTTGTGGATATGACTAAAATGAGGGTAACGAGCTTCGATGGGATTGTGGTTTTTTGTTGAGTTGGTTTTTTTGAGAACTCATCAAATCCTCCCATTTAATAAAATAAAAGCAATAAAGAGAAGAGAAAAGGCAAAGACAAGGGATATACAGCTACGTACTCAAGATACTGATGAAGGAAGAAATTAGAGAGATTTGAATAGCAATTGAGGAAATGGGTTAAGATTGGATGTGTTTTTATAGGGAAGTTATTATAATGTAACACTCAAACTTGCCTAACCCACCGAGTGTGCGTGATACTTTTTAATTTTGTTTGCTATTTTCAAGAAATTTGGCACAAAAACAAAGGAAGATGACGCAAGAATTTAGTTTCGAAAGTCATACTCAAGACTTTTTATTTATTTAGGGGTTAATTGTGGATAGACCCTCGTAGTATCGCTTGAACTTATTATCCCTCTAATTTAATTTTTCTTTAGCAAATAGGCCCCCAGAATGAAACACTTTTGCTCTTTTACTCGAGGGAGCCTATTTGCTAAAGAAAAATTAAATTAGAGGGATAATAAGTTTCTCTTTCCCAGGGTAAAATATTTAGCAAAATAAGTTTCTCTTTCCCAGGGTAAAAGAGGCAAAAAGAATTCATTGGGGTCTATCTGGAAAAAAAAAGAAGAAATTTTCAAAATAGACATATTTTGTTAAATATTTAGCAAAACTAACCGTTTTGCTAAATATTTAGCAAAATAGACATATTTTTGGCCAACAGGTCAAAAAGATATCGATTTTGCAAAACAGATCATTCAAAACATATTGGACTAGTAGCCTCGTATGATTTAATGTGGGATTAAATCATACGAGACTACTAGTCCCGTATGTTTCGAATGGTCTGTTTAGCAACATCGATCTCTTTTTGGCCAACAATCTCTTTTTGGCCATGTTGGCCAAAAAGATATCTATTTTGCTAAATATTTAGCAAAACGGTCTGTTTTGCTAAATATTTAGCAAAATAGGTCTATTTTGTAAATTTTTTTAAAAGAAACTAGAAGAATGTTTAAGTTCAAAACAGCTATACTACAGAAGCTCTCTCCATATTTAATTATTAGGGTGTGTTTAGCAACTATTCAAAGTGGAACCAGGATTGATCCTAATCCCATTTTGGGAGCTATTTTTTCCAAGGGGTAGGCCCTTAAACTGGTTTTATTTTGATCTACCTCACCCCGAACCCAAACAAAACTAGTTTAGGTTGAAACATGGATAGGATTAATCTTAACCCCATTGGAACGTGGTTGACAAATACACCCTTAAATTCAAGCAAAGTTTTATCTGTAAGAAATTAAGATGAGCAGATTAATGAATGAGTTGACTCATTCATAATCATCGTGAGTGAATTGACCAGCCTCGCTAAAAAGTCAAAATCAGCAACTGCGCCTAACTGACAGATTTGTATTAGCGCATGTTAGCACTCACCCGTGGCCATCTCTCTATCACAATTCACGGTTCTTTGTCTCAATTCGTATCTTTCTATATAATTTCAAAGTCAATAAAGATAGATCCCCATCACATTCTCCCTAACTTTGTAGAATCTGGTCAGCTGAAAATCAGATTTTGGGTGCAACTCACAAAAAACCCCCCAACATTTTGAAACTTCACCTAATTGTGTCTTTCGTAAAACTCCATTATGTTTGAAATTTTCAACATGGCCCCCGTAACAACAATACTTGGGGTTTCCTAAACATAACTGTTAGAAAATATCATACCAGCCACCCTATAGCCGCCTCCTAGCGCCGCCTTAGCCGCCTCCTAACCGCCTCAACCCTATAGTCGCCTCAGCCGCCTCCTAGTGTGTATTGTGTGTATGTATATCCTGTAATCTAACTCATCAAGTGTGTAGTTCTCTTCAATACCAATTAACATGGTATCAGAGCCCAAACCACAAATTCGCCCAACGTCGTCGTCATCGTAGCCCTCTGCCATCGTCGTCAATCCAGGCCGCCATCGAACTCGTAGCCCTCAAATCAGCTACCCTCATTGTCGATTTCAAGCCGTCATCGAACTCGGTAGTCAAATCGTCTCGGCTCCTCAAATCGTCTCGGCAACTCGTTGCCATCGTCCCGCTCTCCTCGAAGGCTACTGCGAGAGCCCCTGTGGCCTTGGGAAGACTCCACTTCCGACCATCGCCGACATCGAACTCGTCGCCTTCGTCTCGGCAACTCGTCGGCCGCCAACCTCCTGGGTACCAGTCGCCCCAAATTGCCCTGAGATCTAGGGTTCTTTAAATTTTTTTATCTCTTCAGGCCCATTTTCAGTAGGCTCATCTTTTATCTAAAAAAAAACAGATTCTATACACAAAAAAAAACACATTCCCTTCACTCCAATGACATCAAACGATAGTGCTCTTGATTCATCTACACCTCCTAGACACCCACCTACTACATCCCCTTTACTGCAAGATACTCATACTGATGTCCCCACTACATCTATGCCAGCTTCTCCCGATGTGACTCCTCCTAGTCGCCGCAATCCTCCACGAGATCGTCATCCCCCTGCTCGGTATGCTCAATGTATCACTAGCACATATTCTCCCAAGTTTGTCTCTTTTCTTGCTGTTATTCACTCTATACATGAACCTAACTCATATTCTGAGACAGTTAAGTATCCAGAATGGCAACAAGCAATGACAGAAGAGTTGGAGGTTTTTTGTCGGGCTAATACTTGGGACCTTATTCCTTTGCCTTCTGGTGTTAAACCGATAAGCTGCAAATGGATTTATAAGGTCAAGACTCGATCTGACGGTTCTATTGAGTGATATAAAGCTTGTCTTGTAGCTCGGAGATTCTCACAAGAGTATGGTACTCACTATGAAGAGACTTTTACTCCTGTTGCAAAAAATAACATCTATTCGTACTCTCATTGCTATTGCAGCTGCAAAATATTGGCCTCTGTATCAAATGAATGTTAAAAATACTTTTCTTAATGACGATCTGTCTGAGATAGTGTACATGCAGCCACCTCCTAACTTTTCTGCTCCTCCAAAACATGCTTGTCGCCTTTGTCATGCTATATATGGTCTCAAACAAGCTCCTCGGGCTTGGTTTGAGCGTTTTCGACAATCTCTTCTTTCTATTGGTTTCATTGAAAGCCTAGCTGACTACACTCTATTTTATTGGTCCTTAGCCTCCGGTACAGTCATTCTATTACTTTATGTTGATGACATGATAATCACCGGGAGTGACTCCTCTGCCATTACTTCCTTAAAGCAACATCTTCAGAGACAATTGAGATGAAGGATCTTGGATTCCTTCATTACTTCTTGGGTATTGAGGTTGCTTCCTCCTCTTGTGGCTATCTTTTCTCTCAGCAGAAGTACATTGCAGACATTCTTGAGTGTGCTACTCTCAGTGATCCTTTACCACTCCTCTCTCCACACCAATGGAAATGAACTTGAAGCTTCGACATGATGATGACGATTCCTTATCTTAGCCTACTCGATATCTAGAACTTGCCGGAGCATTGGTTTATCTTTCAGCAACACGTCCGGATATCGCCTATGCAATACACATATTGAGCCAGTTTGTCAGTAGTCCAACTTTAATTCACTATGCAGCTCTCATTCGGGTTCTTCGATATCTCCGTGGTACTATAACCCAATCACTATTTTCTCCCTCAGACTCTTCTTTGTCTCTTCGTGCATATTCTGATGCCGGATGGGCTGATGATGCAGACACTCGACGTTCCACTACTGGTTTTTGTATTTTTCTAGGTTCATCTCTCATCTCTTGGCGTAGTAAGCTAGCGTCACGCTATTGTCTCTCGTTCTAGTACGTAGTCCGAGTACAGGGCATTGGCAAACACCACAATTGAGCTAAAATAGCTCCGCACTCTTTTTGCGAGATCTTGATGTCTTTGTCACTTCCCCTATCACTTTATACTGTGAAAATCAGAGTGCCATCTTCATTTCTACAAATTCGGTATTTCATGAGCGTACCAAACATATTGAGGTGAATTGTCATGTGGTTCGACAGGAGCATGTTGCTGAAAACATTACACTCTCATATGTTCCCTCTAAGGAACAAGTGGCAGATTTATTCACCAAGACTCAAACTCTTTCTGCATTTCGCTATTTCTTGTCCAAAATCTCGGTGTTCAATCCGTCGTGAGTTTGAAGGGGGTGTCAGAAAATATCATATTAGCTACCCTATAGCCGCCTCCTTGCGCCGCCTCAGCCGCCTCCTAGCCACCTCAGTCATATAGCCGCCTCCTAGTGTGTATTGTGTATATATATGTATATGTTGTAATTCAACTCATCAAGTGTGCAGTTTTCTTCAATATCAATTAACAATAACGTTGAAAGTTTGGAGGGTTCAAAACTATGTTGAAAGTTAGGAGTATGTTGAAAAAAAGGATTTACACCGGTGGGAATTGAAAAAACTTCAAACATCATTGAGGTCTTGGGGTGGGCTAAAAGCTTGGGGATTACCACAAAATGAACCGAACTTTTTTGGGTTTTGTGAACTTTGCCTTAGATTTAGCATTGTAGGTTTCTTACTATATATAGTGGAAGACTAACTAACACGTTCAGACGTTCAATGATTGTTTGATATGAGAAGAAGACCGTAGTTTATTGTAATACTGAAAAGGGATAATTTGCAAAATAATATTGTTTGGAGTTCAAGAGATGTAAGCAGTAATAAAATAGTTTCGGAGTGAGCATTTACGTAGTGCAGAAGTTTTGTATCATACTTACAAATCACGCAGTACGCTCCCTTGCACATTCCCATCAGTATTGTCACGCCCTCAGCCCGTGGGCCCTATTGGCACGGGCCCTAATGGCGCGTACAAGCCATGGGACTTACCGAGAACAGCTTGATATTGGCTGAAATCTACTATCAAAATACCAGCACTAATTACTCTTGGGTATTAGGCTTTTCTCTATTTAAGCCACTAGTATTTGTTTACACTAATTTATGTGGGACTAAAGTGCGGGGTGTCACAGTCATCCCACCTTACAAAGACGACGTCCTTGTCGTCACGACATGACAATTAGCACATCCCAGTGTCACTGTTAGGCGATGCGGACTCTAGAGGTGGCTCCCACCGCATCCACGCGGTGCAATCCGTGGGTCCCACCAAGTGCAACTCAATGTTGGTTGAAATCCATTGCAAAAATGCTAGGACTAATTACTCTTGAGTCTTAGGCTTTTTTCTATTTAAGCCATTAATATTTCTTCACACTAATCTATGTGGGACTAAAGTGTGGGGGTGTCACAAAAACTAACCCCCACATTCCATTATTTTTAAAGCTACTCTCTAAATCATCTGTAAGGTAAAAGCATTGACAAAATAGACAAATTGTTAGTTTGTTACTGATCATATCCAAAATAGTCTATGGTCATTGAGCTGAGGGTATTTCACCAACAAATTAAGTGATGATTCGGAGATAGTTTTACAAATTCTAAGATTTCGATGATAATATTCTGCAAATACTCATGGATACATGTAAGGGGTAATATATACAAGAAAAACCATGATTTAAACTAGAGACAACAACGTGTATAAGTGCATGTGCCTATTAAAAACTTCCATGCTTCTCTGAGCACATGGCTCTGATTAACAAAGGTCAAAAGTTTGAGATGCTAAGTAATGTGTTACTAATTTTTAGGTAAGAATTGGTCATTGAAACCTTATATACGAAAAGATAACTAGTTTTTTTAGACGCGAGATGGAACGAACTGTAATCGCAAAATAGTATTACACTCTTATCTACTGATTTAACTATCAGAAAAAAATAGGTATGAGATGGCAAACTCATTTTGTTAAATGATCTATTAAGAGATAGCCTAATACTTTCGTTGTCATATAAAAAATTATGGACTTTAAACACTCTATCTCTTTATAGTTAATTTTATTAAATGAGTTATTACTTTATAACCATCAAACCATTTTACTTGAGGACAATTATATAAACAAATATAACAACAATAGTTTGAAATCAAGGAATTTAAGAAAAAATAGTAGGGGAAACTCTTTTTATTTTTTAGAGAAGAAAAAAAATAAAGAAATGTACTTTTATTAAAAGCATCAATTTAATGAAAGAAGACCGATGATTTCCTATATCGAGGATGCAAAGAGAAAGATAAATATAAAGAATAAATTTAAGAACGGAAAAGTTGAAGGGTATTAACCTAATTGAGAGAGAGAGAGAGAGAGAGAGAGAGAGAGAGAGAGAGAGAGATTCATGCATTATTCTATATTGTTTCTAAAAAATACTACTACTAGTAGACTAGATATTGTTCCAAAAAATAAATAATTAACGCTAAGTACTAAGGGGCTGTTTGGTTCCTTTTTTTTTGGTGGTAAAAGTGGGGAAAACTGCCAAAAATATCAGCTTTTTGGCAGCTTTCCCCCAAAATCACCCCTTAAAAAGGTGATTTTGGGGGAAAGCCGTCAAAAAGCTGACATTTTTTGCAGCTTTCTCCTCTTTTATCACAAAAAAAACATATCCAAACAGCCCCTTAATACAACTGTCACTTATCGAGTTCATGCAACCAATAACAGCTGTTAATTATAGCTGTATATTGCTTCTAAAAAATAATAAAGGTAGTACATAAGAAATTGTTTTCAAAAAATTTAAAATTAATGATAAATGTTTTAAATAAATACAACCATCGCTTGTCATTTGTGCCAACTAGCTACAGCTGCTTTAGTAAAATTATATATTGTTTCTAACACATGGTAACACTGGAAAATTCAGCAGCTCATATTGCAAGTTTTACCTTAAGTATGAATCATAAATTCCTTTCACTTGATTCAGATTTTAACCAACACAAATACAAAAAGTACTAAACAAAAACAAACAAGCAACATATATGCTTGAGCACATCAAAAATTTTAGGATAAAATGATCATTTCCCCCCTAAAATATTGGTGAACTCTCAAGTTCCCCCCACCCCCCCAAAAAAAAGTTATCAATGTAACTATTTTTCTCGACAATGTTTACGGTTTCAATGTGATCATTTTGTGGGTCTATAGTCAAATATTTAACAGATTAATAACGTAACAATGTTTTTTTTCTTCATGGGTTTTTATCAGTTTATCTCCTTTTTCGCCAAACAAAAAGTTATTTTTTTAACTACTTTCTCCTAAGACTTTTTATCCTTAAACGCTTTTTATGAATTACTCATATTTTGGATTGCAAAAAATACAAAAATTGCAAAAAAAAAAACACTATCACATCATTAATCTATTAAATATTTGACTGCATGCTCACAAAATGGTCATATTAGGCACAAACACATAGTTTAAGGAGGAAAATAGACAAATTGATATTTTTAGGGGACAACTTGAAAATTCACCGATACTTTAAGAGGGAAATGATCATTTTATCCAAATTTTTACATACATGGTAGACACAAGTGCACAAAGAAATAACAAATTTCTTTTCTTTTCTTTTCTTTTCAATGAATGTCTTATACACTAATCTTCCACTCTGATATAATAAGGTAAATAATTAGGTAGTGTCTAATAGGTTCTAAAATCTTATGATCAGTGAAAAAAAAGGAAAAAAAGGTTAATTCAAGTTATAACTTTTTTTAATTGTTTGTCCATATTTTACACAAATTTACACATGAACACTCCCACTTAATTCTTGTTCAAGCTTATATCAAAACTTTCATATTGATTTTATATTAAAACTTACACGCAAAAGAAATTAAACAAAATATCAACGGAATTTTTTTGCCTATTGCAGCTTATCTTCAATACTATACATACTATATACTATATATAATTTACCCATATGTTCAAATCCTTAACGCCCCCCCCCCCCGCCCCGCCCCAACATACTCATATTCCAGCTATTTATCGACAAGCTTGAGCTAATTTCTTCAGATTGTCGATAATCATGACCAGCTTCGTATTCAGTCTATTCACAAAACATTTAGGCAACCATCCAGCAGGATCTAGCTACAAATTTTAAAAAGCGAAAAAATATCAGTTTTCAGTAAAAGTAAATAATAAAAATAATAATATATGTAAAACTGAAATATATCATTTATGCTTGCCTGAACAACATAAGTCACTAAGCAAGAGTCATCCTCTAATTTTTCTACTACCCATCCAGATTGTAGCAAGAGACCTCTGATGGAGTTACTTCTCTTAGGTTGCAATCCCGCAGCAATCTCCTTTGGTAGAGAGGCAACAGCAACCACCTGAAACACAAATTTACGCATATGTTTCGTTTATGGGATGACAATTAAAAAAATTCATAAAAAAAGGAAAAAGAAAAAATGATAATAAAGTAAGAAACCAAGCATTCAAGCTGGCAAGTATATTCATGAGCAGTGGTAAGTCTTACATTACGCGATCTTGATTTTCTTCCATAAATGAATGGTAAATTATATAATCCCCCTTGTTTATACCTTTAGTAACAGTTATTACCCCTCAGCTTGTGGGTAGGGGGTTATCTGCAATTTATCCTTCTCAGTTACGAACCTTAGGAGTAATAAGTAGCACTAATGGGACAGATGAGCAGGTTATCTGCAATTTACCCTAAATGAATTGCATGATGTAACTAAATATGACAGCATAAGTTTCTAATATTCTCTACTTTAGGTAAAATTCCAAATAGTAAAATTTTATCACTTCCTCCTTTATCAAGTTTGCATTTTGCTAGTCAAACAACTAATAAGTTCTCAATTCTGAAACTTCTGTTATTTTGAAGTTGGAAAGATGCTAGAAAAGATGAAGTTGGGAGTTGGGGAGTAAAACATTCAAGAGAAGAAGGCTATTAGAAACAACTGAGGCTAAGGATTTGTGATATATTTACCAGAGTTCCATCATCCATGGTCTCGCGTCGCTCATAAACAATAAACTCCCTGTTCTTGAAAAGAGGTTTTGAGGCATCACCAAACCGCAAGCGAATGATGCTGAGGTTATTTGAGAGGGCTTTTATGTAGTTGGCTTCTACCAGGTCTGGATCCCATTGCTGCTTAAGACACAATAAGTAAATGAAAAACCTCTTAGATTAACAGAGCATCACCGAACTTATTTACAGTGAATGCATCAGTGATAGTTGAGATGCTAGAAAGAGAATAAGGGTGGATAATTTTGTCCATGTACGCACACGCACGTACATACATATATAAGGAAATTTTCAAGTGAGAACACCATGGCGAGAATTGTAAGAACTCCAATAATGAATCAATTTATGGATGATGCACAGGTTCATCTAATTTAACACATCCAAATTGTTCTACAAACAAGAGGAGTTTTTGACACTTGAGGTTAAAACAAAATTGCAAAAAACAAAAACACAGTTATTTATCTTTAGAAAGAATATTGTTTGATAAGTGGGTGAAGTTTTCAATTTTTGAGACTTTTCATTCAGGGGCTATTTTGGATGTGTAGATCAAGATCGACAGTATTGATCATTCAAAATATGCACAATTGCGGAGCTCTCACAAAAATTCAGTTCTATAAAAATAACAGCATGCATGGTTAGGAAGAAACTCAAATTTATGTGAAAGAATATCTACAGTTGTGAAGGTTTTTACAAAATTTTAGTTTTAGGATCATGAATGGTTAAAGAAGAAACTCAAATTTATGTGAAAGAAGAGCTTATTTTCCAAAAGAAGACCGAGGCTCACCAGTATCATGTTGACACCTCTCTATACTGTTTCTGTTTTCTGTACTCTGATTTCGGTAGTTTTCTCTAATATTAGAACTCGAGTCTCCATCTCATCTACATTTTCTCTCTCATTAACTTTCTTTATTATAACGAACCAGCACAAGTACAAATTTGAATACGCACCTATTTTAATTAACATCAAATAGGTAACAACTAATTCCGGCGGTTGCCCTATTAGATCCTCCAAGTTCCTCGTTTGGCACTTTGCTATTTTTCTAAGTTACAGTTACTTCTAAAAGCTTATTCTGTGAGTTAAAGAAGAGATTCATGAATTATTAGAGTGAAAAGGAATATTTTCCTAAAGCTGGGAACAATGTGTTGAGATAAAGTTAGTGCTGAGCAATCTTTTATATCTGCTGTAGCAGTGAGCAGTTCCTGGTTCTCATAGAGAAATAAAGCATCTCTTCATTGAGAGATACCTATGGCATATAAGTTGAGGATAAATCTTGACGCATTCATACAAAAAGAATTTTGAAACGAAGTAATCAATATATTCAAAATTTGAGACATAATTTACCATCAATGATGCAGAAGGAAACTGCCCTGCAAATGAGTTAAGGACAGCGCCGAACAACTGACAGGAACGTTATTTATAGTAAATAATAGCAACAAATCACCACAGGGTAGTTTTACATCATGTCCTTATAGTTCATACATGCTTCAAAAATAATCTGAGGTTTTAACAGGATTTTCCACTAAACATAGTCTCGAGAAATCTCTAACAACTTCTTGCAACATCTAATCATTTACCTATCTACTGCATGGTGCCCAAACCAGCATAATCAACAATAACAATCTGAAAACAACAAAAATTGTCACTATTTGATGTTGAATACTAAGGCAAAGTGGTTAGTGTTCTCTAATAAAAAATTTAGTTATTATAAAGAACTGATGAACTGGCTTCAGGGACAAGTGCAGTGTACTGTGAAGATAAATCAATTAGGCCTAGCGTCCAAAAATTCTATACCATATGGCCTTTCTGTCTATGCTTTGAACCTAACCTTGAAGATTAAGTACTAAAGAGCAGACAGAGACAAAAAAATTTTAAAAAAAAGTAATAAGGTATTTCAAGTTGTAGGAAACCTGACACTCTTATGACATAAATATGAATTATTAATAATAAAAAAAATTCAATCTCCATCTAACTAATCTAAAAGCTTCTGTCCCCTTCTCAGCGTACATTTCTGAAAGCCAGTTTGTCACTGACATTCTCAATCAGACATCACGTTGCAAGGAAGATAAAACAGTTGAATGGAAACAAAAAACTGCGACAACTTACACCCCTTATATGGTAATACTTAGAAATTACTTCACACCTAACAAATTCTATGCATGAACGAGAGTTATGATTTACCTTTGCAGCGTCGATGGCATTGGCAACAGCCATGAACTGCTGCGGAGAGACAGAACGCAGCAGCCATCATCGGCTACGAAACACATGCAGAGAACCAGAATGTTGCTTGGATATCTCGACACCATCATCCATCGACAGAATTTTCCACCCATCAAAACCTTCGGCTTTGCTTGTGTCTGAAGCAGAAAGCAGTTCCTGGATGCAACTCTCACTTGCATATGATACATATCTCTTCAGCGAGTCATCGCTTATTGACCTTAGAAAATGAAAACAGCTGATATCAGAACTATGCAAATATTGGAGCAAACAAAGATACGTATCGAGACTGATAACTACCAGTTTCTAGCGCAAGGCTCAAGTGAAGGAGTAAGAGGAGAAGAGGAGGCGGAAGATGAGCTCATTGTGAAATAGAGTATCAAATTGGAGGGAGAGCAATATATATGAATGAAAACAATGGAGGAGATGGAGGTGGGCTTGCAGTGATTAGTGCACATGGCACTGCCAGAATGAAGAACAGTCCATGATTGGGCTTCCATGTGCCATTAAAGAAAGATTCTTTTCTTTAAAGATGGTGAGGGAGCAAAGGGTGAAGGTGAAGTTGAAGTGAAGAGAGCACATGGAGTGCTGGTGAAGATAAATTCAGAAACCACTGCCTAATGTTTCTATGGTGCCTTTGCCTTCTTTTAGGGGGTGGCATCAGATTCATATTAAACAGAAGCACTTCTCAAATGCCCACAAATGTGAGACACAAACCCCACAAATTGGGCCCCATTTTACTTACATCACATGTTCTTGTGGGACCCACTGTGTCCCCTTTTCTTGGTCACCTAACCCATAATTAGACTGCATATGGTTAGAATTTGGACCATTACATGATGATTGCAGGTTGTAGGAGCAGGTAAAAAAATCATCCAGAAAGATCAATACAATAGATTTTACATGTTTAAAGGATTGTGAATCTATGATGTTTCATTGAACTATATTGGCGTTTATAACCTAATCATAGAAAAGGTAGTTTGGTGTAGTGCAACAGGATGGCCAGCTAAGCTTGAATGAGTGAAAGGCAAGTCATGAATATATAAGATAACTGACAGAAGAACACTAAAGCACGGTAAATTGTTAGCATAACTAAATTAGCAAGATTAAGTTATTTACATAGGTATTCACCAAAGCATTCACAAGAGCAAGCACAGGTCACTCAATTTCAACAGTAAACCTGTTAACAATGAGCTCAGAAGTTAGTTAGAAGATAGTTGTAGTACCACCGTCAGAGATCCACCAAGCATGTAGTGAACTATTGACAGTGTAATAAGATTAATGATCGAGTTATATGATATCTAAATAATTTCACGGCAATAAGAATCGTAAGGAATAAAGGGGAAAAAATCAGGTTGCAGTACAAAGTTTGAAATTCTTAAGAAGAAAGAATATATAGTATTGAAGTCTTTAACATTTTGGCTGACTATGAAAAAAGAATTGCAAGAAGCATGTTAGAGAAAATTGAATGATCTGAAAGTTGACTATGTGCCCACTTCATGATACCTAAAAATCTGGACATCTTCATAATTGAAAACAAGAAGATTAGACTCACATAAATGATGGATGTTAAATGTCAGTCTTGATGAGATTTTACATGCATTAGAGCTGGTTTCTGCTTATTAGATCATAGCTTCACATGTACAATTTGGTGGAATCATGATGATATAAAACATAGAGAAAACATAATTGGTTGTTTCATAAGATAATGGCCTTGTGATGAAAAGAATTTATGCCCTCTTTTTTTTTGAGTGAAAAAAATAGTTTAAGCTCTCAATTATCGCTAATATGAAACTAATTGAGGTGACTTCCAAGTTTTGGTTGTGCATGATAAGCACCAACTTCAATACTGAACATCATCTAACACATATATATATGTTAAGCATGCAAACTGGTATAAGCAATACATAATCACACTGTATTATATCTACCTATAACTCCCAACTGAATTCAATAAGTTCATCCTATTACTAATGTTAGAATATAAAACTAAACCATCAACCCTCATCACAACTTTGGAGGTTTGATGTATTTGGAGATACTTTAAGATGGTATCACAGCAACCCAAGTTCAATTCTCATTGGCCACGAATTTGAAGTCAAACAAAACTATAAGATCCAAATCATGCTGAGCAGCCCATAGGAAGAGTCTCCTCTAGTTGCACGGTCTTGAGAGGGTCAGATGCAATAACATATTGTTGATGTTAAATGATCACACAGTAAATTATATCCGTGGTTGGATAGGGGTGAGGTTGATGAGGAGCCGCTTTCTTCCCCAAATATCCATTTCTGAGTTGGGTTGCTGGAAAGCCTGCACATGTAGAAACATGTGAGAGGACGGGGATTGGTTCCCTCGTGGTTCCTCTGACGATTAAGTCAGATGGTGAGCTTAAGTGAGAAAAGTAAAGAACTGTAAGTTCTTGTGTGTGCAGTATAATTTACAGATCACTGTGAGAAGATCAGATTTGTGAACCTTTTTCAAAAGTCAAAAACTCCCCTTCTGTTAGAATAGTACCACTTATTTATAGTAGTGCCGAAAGAGCATAATCGTCATTGTGGCCGAGCACAGGATGGCGGTGAAGAAGCATAGGCTCGCGGCTGAGTCAGCTCCTACTTTACAGGTGTTGGCTAGCGACTGGAGGAGAAATCATCTCGGCATTAAATGGGAAATGATCGAAAGCATAGCGGTGCTGACGTGACCCCATGAGTCGTGAAGACTATCGGGACTAGAGGTATGATGGCGTCTGCCTAACATTAAATATGATGTTGACACGTTGTCAGTGGGAGAGACTCGATGTTGAAGTTGTCCTCTAACTTCGCCGAGAAGTAACACCTTTCGAGTTGACCTCATGGAGCGTCGAGTAGTTGGTCGAGTGGGCTCGTTGCAAGTCGTCTTCGACAAAAGGGGCGACAAGTACCACGTTTCGAGTCGACATGAGGAAATATCGACTCGACGAGTCGACTGAGTTGTCGTCCTGATTGGTCTTCAGCTGCTAACTTGATTGGGGTATTGCATGCAGATGTACACCTATCCGTTGCTAGCGAAAGGTAGCACTTAGGTGATTGAAAACACCATAACAATTAGCCCATTTCACTTGGAGTCGGCTTTAGTCGGGTCCGAGTAAAATAAGAATTGATTTGGACGGATGTGGGTGCTTTAAATGCGAGAACTGAAAAGTTCCTTCGAATTGACATGGCTGACGTCACTTGCACATTCTTTTTTACTGTTGCAGCTCTACTTTTCTTAGCAGATTACGGGCTACTTGAGGTTAGTAGGATGCGCCTCGATCCGTGAGATGGCGCTTCGAATCCTGGAAATTAATATTAGTCGTTTACCGGAATGTGATCCGACGGTTCTGATCCCGACAGTTGTAAAGTTAATTGCCTATATATAGAACCAAAGCTAGAGAGATGTCGGTTACTGCCTTTTCAAATTCCCTTCAGAGAACTTAAAATTTTTTCCACTCATCTCTTACAACGATCATCTTTGCAATCTCTAATAGCATCTAAACATGTTTATCGAAGAGCTCTCCTGGTGGGGATCCACTCCCAAGTGACGCAGTCCTAGATGAGGATGCTCTCTAGGAGGTTTGAAATCCCTAAGGAGTATGATCTGATGGCTCCGACGAGGTCGGAGGCCATTTTCGATCATGGATCGGAATTAGGACCGCTATATCTGAGGCACTTGGAATGTTCTCTGCAGCTTCCATTGCACCCCTTCCTCCAGCAAGTATTCACAGTGCTAGAGGTATCGCTAGCACAGATGAAGCCGAACGCCATCGCTATCCTGGTGGGGTACGTGGTGATCTGTCACTGGCTGGTGATAAAAAAGCCATTTCCCTACGGGTGGCCTGGATCGAACTTTTAGTGCGCTGTGAAGGGTGGAACAAAGGACCGGCAGCCCCACTTCCACTTTCAAATGGTGGGGAAGTTCAGGCTTATTACCGGCCTTCCAGACTCGTATAAGGACTGGAAGGAGTTCGTCTGGGTCGTGGGGGATGACCTGAAGTTGGGCTACTCAAACTGACCTGAAATAAAGAGGGAGACACTCATGGAGGGGGACTTGCTTGAGACCGAGAGGGATGCGCTTGACCAGATTAAGGCATATGCTGGCTCTCATAGAGTTGATCATCTGCTTGACAGCTCAGTCTTGCGGGTTGCTGGTGTATCGGTTATGCCTCCTTCTGAATAGGATCATGAGAGGGCTTCAGCCCTTGTTGTGGGGACCGTAGGAGCGGCGACAGCGTCTACTATTTCTTTGGCCCATGAAGCGTCCTCGTCAGAATATTCCTCCAATGAAGACCGAGATGGCCGAGGAGGAGCCTGCTCCCTCCCTCGTCCATAGACGGAGACGGAGGGATGTGGAACGGGTACCTCAAGTAGCGTCTGAGATGGCCGAGACCGACGTTGTTTGTCTAGACGAGTCAGCCTTGGGAGAACCAATCGAGACTCCTCAAGAAGAGGGAGCCGAGGCTAGGGCTTTTGCTGGGCAGGGGGAGTCGTTTGGTCACCACGACGAATCGACTAGTCGGGGGAAGGAGTCGGTCGAGGAGGAGATAGTGCCTCCCGCATGGCTTAAATATCTCTATCCTCACCGGGTCGCCGACATCAGAGAAGAAAATTAGGAGAAGATGAGAAAGTACCTCATCGGGTTTTCAAGGGCCGGCTCTCGATATGGACAGGAGCTCGACCCGGAGCATCGCTTCGAGCCTGATCACCACCTTGACGTCTGGGGGAGTGTCCTGGGCTCTTGCCGGACTCAGCAAAAGGCGGTCAAGCAGTTCTGGCTCTCTCAAGATAAGGAGTATCTGTAAGGGGTTCCCGATATCGGTCTTCACCATAGCCTTCGCAGCTACTTTGTTCGAGGCGTTTTCGTGGAGACGGAGTTATACCGTCGGATGGAGCGGGTCTGGACCGCATACCTAAGCTCCTTGGAGAGGTTACTTCTCTGAGGGTTGATAAAGGGGCTGACTTGGAGCGGGCTGCAGAGACGCCAGCCCTAAGTGCTTTTGAGGTCGACGAGCTCAGGCAGGAGCTGGAGGAGAGCAAGAGGAAGGCCAGGAGATTAGACGAGGCTCTACAGGAGAGGGACCGTGCTATGGTGTTGGTCGAGATAGAGACGAGGCTCTACAGGATCGAGCTATGGTGCTAGTCGAGATAGAGAAGGAGGTGATGGCCCATGCGAGGACGAGGAGCATGCAGCGCTAGCCAAATTTCAAGGGGAGGTCGTCCACTTATAGGAGTCTTTGTTGGCGGCCCAAAGCAAAAATATCTATCTAAAGTCCGAGCAGCGCTGTCAGGGGATCATTGAGGTATATCGACAAAGCTTAACAAAACTAAAGTGTCGATCGCCTACAAGGCAGGATATGACTATCTCTCGGCGTAGCTTCTAGTCGAGATGAGGAACCTGTCGAACTGCTTCCACTATCCCCCCATCACGGCTAAGTGCTTGGATGAGTTAGTGGAGGTGCAAGCGCTTGGAGGGGGGCTCGATCTCGATGAAGGAGAGGGAGAATCGAACGAAGAAGGAGACTACTCAACTCCTCCCCGGATTGCTCCCAGGGGTTCCCCGCCAGCAACTCTAGGAGCGGGAATGGACTTCTCTTAGCCTCCTAGGACTTCTGTCTCTTTCTTCTTGTGTCGTGTAGATGTGTACATTGTATCTTGTAAAGACACTTTATCAATGAATAAAGAAATGTTTTTGAGCCTGAAATTGTTTGTCATGTGCTGTGCAATCTTAATTTATGTCTTCTGAATTACTTAGCTCCATCAAAGACTTGAACTGTTGACTCAAGGGGACTCATCCTTCGTTGAGAAGATACGTCTTAATCTCGAGTAGTCACTTTTGATGTGTTATTTTTTGTCTAAGTATGGAATCAATCTGC